GACTCGAGAAGGAAAGCGAGAGGACAGGGGAATATTTAAGGCTTATTTTGTACATATACATTTTTTTATTCAAGAGAATTAACATGCCAGTTTCTTAATCAGGTATTCAACAATTAATGCTACCTAGCTAATATATAAACTTCTTTTAAAATGATACCAATACTTAAGAAGCTGTAAGCATATGTACTCTAGAAAAAGATGTACAATTTTCGATTTATGTAATGTCGTTGGAAAAATATCAATAACGTTGACCTCCTTTGCAATAAGTCATTTGGTGCAATAATCGACTTCTCAATTCAACAAAACCAAATTTAATATGGAACAACAAAAAAAATATCAAGTGTTGCCATGATGGTCATTGCAATTTTTGCCTCTTAACTTATGTCTCATGACTCTACAGGTTCAATCCTTGCTGCATATTTTTTGGCTTATATCCTCCAATTCAATGATTTGAGAATCGTTGCTTCCTGCTACGTTTATGTCATCGAGCTCCCGAGTCAGGAAGCGAGTTGGGACTTTACTCTGCGAGTTGAAAAATGAAATCCAAGCCAGATAATTAGAGATAATAAACCAGTAGCATTCTCTAGATATTACATGAAATGATGTCTTTAACTTGTTTTTCAAATTAAGAAATCTTTAAACATAAGTGAATCCATATATATTCGAATAAAAAAAAACCATCATGACAAGTGATTGCTTAACAATTTGATTCTGAAAAGTATTCTAAAATCCTAGGAAACAAAATCATTTGAATGACACCTGACTTTTGTATATCAGATTAATCATTTCATGAAATGGTTTTAAGGACACAAGCAAGAGAAATTAAAGAAGTACACAAGAGAGTTGGATCATATACAATTAACAAACTACGAGAGATCGGACAATAATCAGCAATAGGATGTCTTTTATTGACATCCTATTTGCGACTTTCAGTAAGATCTATCCAATCTTTTGAAACCGTAAATAGATATTGGTATTAATCTATTAGCAACAAGTATTTTACTTCGAAGCAATTCAAGTCAAACA